AAAAATTTTTGGAGTTAATATACATTTTTATTTTCCATTTGAAATAATTTGATTTTATTGTTTCAATTGTCAAGGTAATTAATAAACAATAAATAAATAAATAATAGGGTTGACTTTCTTAAAAAAGCAATACAAACTAAAGTAAGTTGAAATTAAATAATTGGGTAAATTACGCTGATATTTCTTGAGATTTGTAAAAAATAAATTTTACAATTTTAACATAATTACATTGATATTTTTTTTGGTCAAGTTAAAGATACCAAAACTAATTAAATTGTGTAAAACACAAGGAAACAATATATAGGTGTTTGGGAACTTGATTTTTGGGTTTTTTTTTTTTTTTTTTTTCACTATAAGACAAATGTTTTACAAAATCAAAAAAAAAAAACAAATCCAAATAAAATATTACATCAAACCCCATAATCATTTTACTTTTTCTCTCACAAATATCACATCCAACCATAAAAAAATCCAACTATCTTTCTAAACACAAAAAATTTTTTTCCAATAATATCCTATAACTAAAAAAACCTACAAAAAAATTCACTTCCCAAACACCTACCAAAACAATTTTTTTTATAGTAAAACACACTAATATTTTTCTTGATCATGTATACACACATACATATATATATATATATATATATACTAGCGGTAACCCGTGCGATGCACGGAAAAATAAATTATATACATTTTGTGTGATATATAAATTATTCTAATCTTGAATTATATTTTAATAGCAGCAAGCCATGATGTTAGGCCATCTTGGTTGATGTTAACAATAATTAATCTACAAAATTTCACAATAAAAATTTGATATACATAAAAAATTGTTAATTATAAAGATTGTTAGGATAATAGTATTACAATCACTTGCTAACATAAATAATTTGTATCAGACTATAGTGTCATGCAAAAAAAAAATTATAAAGATTGTTAGGATAATAGTATTACAATCACTTGCTAACATAAATAATTTGTATCAGACTATAGTGTCATGCCAAAAAAACAAAACAAAACAAAACAAAACAAAAACAAAAACAAAAACAAAGCATTAAAAGAAATAAATTGTATAAGTTATCATAAATTTACTTATTTTAAATCAATGATTTATATTATTATTGTGGGACCAAATTATGAATAAATCTCAACTTTTAATTATAATATGTAAGTAATCATTCTCCATAACTTGAATAATACTTGCATAGTTTCTACAATATTTTTAAAAAAAAAATCAAGATAAGAATTTCGTAGGATTATAAAAATTATATAAGAAAATAGTTTAATTCATTTTATTTATAAAAAAAATGATGACAAATTATTTGAATTGTATTTGAAGAAATATAACAAATGATAGCTTTAATCATTATATACCCAAAAAAAAAAAAATTTATATAGGTTACTCAATAACAAAATGGTCGAATATAACTAAAGTCATGGACATTGAATTAAATCATATGGGCTCTAAATTGATAATATAATCTAATAAATCAACTAATAATAAAAGAGAGATATCAACAAATATGTAGTATTTCTCTACCATCTTTGTATTATATTCATTAATTTCATATATCATATGAAAGTTTTACTTGTCTCAATGTTTCAATGAAATAAGCACCAAGAAAAAAAATTTGATAAGAAATTAGTTCTAAACTTTATTATTAAAAAAATAAAAATTTCAAAGAGAAAATTTAGAGATGAGATTGAAAAAATACTATAACAAATGACAATCTTAAAAAAAAAGAAAAAGAAAAAACACATAGCAATGATCTAATGTAAATAAACAAAAATTTATTGATTTTAGGAGAGTCCAATGCATACATATAATTGAACAAAACTCACAACTTGTTTAACAACCAGCAAATAAATGTTTAAATTTAAAGATAAACACAAATAAAATATTATTTTTTTAATATTATTAAGTTTGTATTCAATTTTGCACATTAATTCAAGTCCTCCTAGTTTTTTCATCTCCTTCTTCTTCTTACCCTCAACTTTAGCTTCTTATGATGATGATTACAAAAAGATATTCATTACTCTCAGTCACAACAGTGCCATTACTTTTTTGTTTGTCCAAAATATTTGAAAAGGAAAAACACTATGAAAATGGAGAAATGATTGAATAATTTTTAAAAAGTGATTCAATATTAAAAATAAAAATAAAAATATGAAGCACACAATTGAAAAATGTCCGATAAAAAAAAAAAAGGAAATGAAAATAAAACCTTTAGAATTGTAGTGATATACCCATGTCTTTATAAGTAAATTGTAGATAAACAGGTTTTGAGCGAGTGTTTATTTAGAAAGATGTAGAGAAGTAATCATGTTGTTGTAACAAAGAAGAGAGCATGCAATCAAGAGTTGTGAGTTTTTTTTTTTTTTTCCGTCATCATCTTTAATTTCATTTTGGTGAGAATAGTATAACTATTTATGGAGATTGGAATACGAACATAAGAGAAGTTTTTTTAGATTTTTTATAGAAAAGAAATAAGGATAACTATGCAGGATTTTTATCTTTTTTTTTTAATTTGCTTCTTTTTATCTCTTGGCTTTTTTATGTGTTTTTATTTTTTTTTAGATTTTTGTAGAAGAGAGATAAGGATAACTATATTGGATTTCTATTCTTTTATTTGAATTGTGGGAAATAAAGATATTATGTGATTTTTTTTTTATTATTTTACTTTTATTTTTTTATATAGGGAGAGGGAGTGAGAAGATTTGAAAAGTGAAAAGGGAGCTAGAGGGGGGTTCCATGTATTTTTTTTTTCTTTTTAAAATTATGAGAATTTAGGAATGAATATTTACAGATTTTTGACAAAACCACTACATTTGATTATATATATAGTATAGATAGATAGATATATATATACATATCAAATCCAACCATATATATATAATTTTCTTGATCATGTACACATACATATACATATATCGAACAACTTCTTTATAGTTGACGTTTACTCAGCCTCCTTGATCTTGAACTTTAAGCACCTAAACATCTTGTAATTGATCTTTCCTTTCCCTCAACCCCATATTCTTCTGTGTCATTCTCTCTCCATTTGTATGTACATATATGTATTTATATATATATATATATATATGTAATTGATTTTCAGGGTAAGGGTGTATTAGATTCTTCTTCTTCATTGTCTCTATTTTCTCCCCAAAACACTCAAATTTTCCGAAATTACAAGCTTCCAAACCCTCATTTTCAACCCACCATAGAGAGAGAGAGAGAGAGAGAGAGAAAAAAACAGTAAAGAAAGAAAGAAGAAGAATGATATATTTTGTAAATTTGAAGGTGAATGAGGGGTAATTTAGTTTTAAAAATTAACTTACTCTCCTTCTAAACGCGTGAGCCTCACATTCCATTAATTTAGTTGAAAAAACTGACGGTGCACTTTGGTCCAGTAACCATATGAGAGTTATGTGATGATTTCTGAATGTCAGATGGTAAATCACGTTCGGCCCAAACCACAGAAAATAAAGTGAAGTTTGTCCTTTTAAAAATAACAAAAAAAAAAATAATAATAATGATTTCTTATATTTGATACTATAAAATACCAAGGGTTAATTACACTTTTCACCTCTGTAATTTGATCCAAATTTCACTTTATTCTCTATAATTTTAATTTGAACAATTTAGTTCTTACACTTTTAAGTATAATTTCAATTTGATCGTTACGTCTATATTGGGATTAAAATTAATAATTTTGGATACTTATTAAATTTTCAATATTTTTATTTGGTTCTTCTGTCTAAATTAGATGCTAAATTTAATAAATTTGAGACACTTGTCAATTTTTTAAGGTATACACATAGAAAAAATTAATAAAAATTTAAATAGAATGACCAAATTGAAAGTAGATTTAAAGTGTAGGGTTTAAATTATTTAAATTAAAACTATAAGACCTAAAATTTTCTTAATCATGTATACATACATGTACATATATCGAACGGCTTCTTTATATTCGGCGTTTGCTCAGCCTCCTTGATCTTGAACTTCAAGCACCTAAACATCTTGTAATTGATCTTTCCTTACCCTCAACCCCATTTTCTCATGTGTCATTCTCTCTTTATTTATATGTACATTTATGTATTTATGTATATATATATATATATAATTGATTTTTAGGGTAAAGGGGTATTAGATTATTCTTCTTCATTGTCTCTTATTTTCTCCCCAAACATTAAATTTTCCCAAATTACAAGCTTCCAAACCCTCATCTTCAACCCACCATAGAAAGAGAAATAGTAAAGAAAGAAAGAAGAAGAAGGATATATTTTGTAAATTTGAAGGTAAATGAGGGGTAATTTAGTCTTAAAAATTAACTTACTCTCTTTTTAGACGCGTGAGCTTCACGTTCTGTTAATTTAGACAGAAAAGTTGACGGTGCGCTTTGGTTCAATAACCACTTGAGAGTTATGTAATGATTTCTGAATGTCAGGGGATAAACCATACCCGACCTAAAGCACAAGAAGTAAAGTGAAGTTTTTCCTTTTAAAAATAATAACAAAAAAAATAATATTGACTTCTCATATTTGATACTACAAAATACCAAAGGTTAATTATACTTTCTACCTCTGTAATTTGATTTAAATTTCACTTTACTCCCTATAATTTTAATTTAAACAATTTAATTCTTACACTTTTAAGTATAATTTCAATTTGATCATTGTGTCTATATTGGGATTAAAATTAATAATTTTAGATACTTATCAAATTTTCAATATTTTAATTCGGTTCTTTTGTCTAAATTAGATGCTAAATTTAATAAATTTGGGAACTTGCAATTTTTTTAAGGTATACACATAGAAAAAAATTAATAAAAATTTAGACATAATGACTAAATTGAAACTAAACTTAAAGTATAAGGATTAAATTATTTAAATTAAAATTATAAGACCTAAAATAAAATTTAAGTTAAAAAAAAGGAGTGAGAAGTGTAATTAACTTAAATATCAGGAAAAATATTTTTCAAAATTAAAAAGAAAAAAAGAAAAAACCAATTAGGGCAACGGAAAACATTTGACAAACAGATCGAGGCTTCGCCACTCTCTCTCTCTCTCTCTCCTAAAAGGTAAGCTCTCTCTCTCTCTCTCTCTCTGTCTTCGTCCCGTTGAGCATATTGTGATGAGATGGTGTTGATTTTGTTCCAGATCTACACGCACTGATGATTTTTTTTTTTATCGTTGATTTGGTTGGTTTTTGTGGTAGATCTATTAGATTTGTCTGAATTTCTTTGACTTGCTTTCAGAAGGTGCCTATTCGTCTTCTGATCTTCCATCTTCGATTTAGGGCATTGACTCTCTCTCTCTCTCTCTGACACGCTTGTGTAAGTTAATCTCTGTTGTTTAATCCTGATTGCTTCTATCTACTTTTTTATTTTATTTTATTTATTCTTGTTGATTGGATACTGTTTTTGCTGATGCATTGATAAATATAATAATGGGTTATAAAGCTTTTCTATGTTAATTCAATTGCCCCATTCTGATTTCATATAAAATGCTTGCATTTCAATTCTATTATGAGTTTTGTATTATGCCAGTGCTTCAGTTCTAGATTTATTTATGTAAGGTGATTAATCATGGTCTTTTTAGACTGAAAAAGTGAAAAGGGTGGTAGTTTTCATTCATTCCTTCTTTTATTTTATTTTAATAATGACTGCATTTTGAATCATGTTCCCATAAAATCACAGCCTCTGAGGTCCAAAATGATATTCATGAAAGAAAAACCAAGATGCATATTTCGAAGCATACATATTAGCATCTATTTATCAATGCAATTTCTATATAACATTGAACATGTAAATAAGTGATAGAAAGGCATGATTCAAAAGGCATGTGGGCTGTTATGCATCTTGGTTTTTCATGATATGATTCAAAATATAAAGCCTAATGAGAGGGAAACCCACTATTACTTTAAACTCCCCTTTTTATGCGAGTCACGTGATTCATATTAGCTCCGTTGGGTAGAGCTGTGGCAAGTGATTATAGATTATGACTTAACAGATTATAACTTACAGTTGTGAACATAAGCTGATAACCTATTTGGTTCAGTTATAAGATTATGGATTTAAGCAGCAGAGTAGTGTTTGGTAAATAAGCTGTAAAATAGCTTTTTGCTGTGTAATTGTCATTTTTGTCCTTATGAGCATAAAAATTGTAATTTTGTCATTTTTTTCACTTTAAATTTTTAAAAAGTTATTTTATTAATTGAAGTTGATATAATTAGTACCTAATTTGGTACATTTTTCCGTTATCTCAATTTTTTTTTTAATTTTTTTTTTAATATTGAGTTCACAAGGGAACAAAAAAATGTCATTGTAATAAAAAACGTCATTTTTTTAAAATATTGAGTTCACAAGAGAAGCCTAACCCTTCCTCATAATTTCTTTAGTTATACCTCATATTGTATTTAATTATGATATTTTTTCTTTTTTTTTCAATTATGACTTAAAAAATTAAAATTAATTTTTTTTAAAAAAAATTATAAGATATATATGGTTCATACATAGCCTTTCCTCTTCTTATTTATAACCTGAATGCTATTTGATCAAATTTGATCAAATTGGATAGGCCTGTGATGAGAGCAAAATTAGTAAATAAAATAAAATAGATAAACAACTAGAGAGGACATTAAAATGGATAATTCATCAAAACTTTTTCCTTTTTAAAGGTAACAATAAAAGAACAAAACTTTGAGGCACAGCCTCAACAATACATGTAGGAACATGAATACTTCTATCAAACAAGTTTTCATGATTTTAATTTTTTTTTCTTTTCAAGAAACAAAAAGCGATAACAACCATCCCCTAAATTTGGCAGTAGCTGAACAATACAACCAAATCTAAATTCCATCTCTGAGTAATCTTGAGAAAATTGTTGATTCTATTTGCTAAGCAAACCAAACATATTATCTCCATTAGCTTCTCTTCACTCCCAACAAATATGGAAGGCAGAGAAGCTGTGAGCTCTGAGTATGTTGAAGTAGGCCTTGCTAGCTCAAACTGAGACCTGAAATCCATGTCCACTATCGACCTCACTGTTTCATCACCACCGCCATTGCTGTCCTTCATCAAAACATCTATATATTCATAATCACTGTCCTTCATCAAAACATCTATATATTCATAATCACCTGTAAATTCAAACATTCATGAACCCAACACAACACACACATATCAGAAATGGGTCATACAGCAGTACTCTCATTAGACAACACCCTTCAATTATTGAATTTCTATTTGTCTCTCTGTGCAATTCAACAATGACTTACATATTCAGAAAAATTATTTAGACAAATAACCAGAAAAAATATATCTACAAATCACAAAATAAGATGATACGGAATTTTTTTTGGCGAAACATGATTTGCACCTGCCATCCTATTGCATTGTAATCTGAGGAGCCAGAAATAATGTCTGATATCATTTAATATAGCTCTATTACCTATCATGACTTGGCATGCATACATGTTGATGCTAATAACATGCAGCACCATTAACAGCTACCAAGGTATTATATCAATCAATGTTGTTATCCAGCAAGCTAGCAGTGTGATCAGCAAAGTAACCAGGTTTCCATGGTATAGAATCCAAATAATCTTAGATGACTTAGATGACTCATCAGTCACTAGGTATGGTATATAGAGTATGATGAGAGTTCTATAAGCAACTAGAAACAGCTGGGAATGCTGTTTTGATTGGGTTATGATAACAGCACAAGTCCAAACTAGTGGTTGGATTTCAGATTTGATAACAGCACAAGTCCAAAAACACATTGACAACCCAGTTTTTTATAAGTTTTTTCAGAGTTCCATAAGCAACTATAAGTTTTTTATTATACTTTTTACCTAACCTCAATCAATGAATATCACAACCCAGTTTTTTATTATACTTTTTACTTAACCTTAATGAATGAATATCACACGCCAAGTCAACTCACATTAGGGGTGGGCGCGGGTCGGTTGCGGCCACGGAACCTCCAATCCGCCATCCGTCCGCCAGATTGGCGGATTGAAGAAAATCAATCCGCATCCGTCCGCCAATCCGTATCACAAGCCAAGTCAACTCACATAATTATAAACTCTTTACTAGCAATATTCTTATATGAAAACATAGCCAAAGTGAATAATAAAAAAAAGAACTTGCAAATTGGCACTACAATCTAGATGCCATATATCCAAATTCCTCTCTATTAAGAGACCTAAATGCCTTACTGTAAGGAAGTGTCTCAAGCTGAGTCTCAATTGGCATTTGGCCTACTTGAAAAAAATTATAATGCTTTCTCAATGTAATTATGTGAATCATCAAAGTCAAATTGTTTACCAACAAGACTTGCATTAGACTATTTAAGGATGCAAGCTAAGACTTAAATTTACCTTGTTTGTGATGTCAGAAATTTTCTGCAGTGAAACTAAAGCAACAATCACAACTCAAACAAAAGTACTTAAAGGCGAAACTAGTTAAACAACAATAATAAAGTCAAATCAAACTGAAAAATCAACCACAGAGGAGCATTATCATTTAGGAATCAAAGAAACCTATATATAGTAACATTAGATAATCAATCAAACCAACAAACCTCAGAAAATATCATTTTCCTAAAGATTTTCCCTTCAACTGAACTTTTAAACAAAGGGAAAAATGCATTTGAAGAACAAATAATATGGTAACTTAAGTCTCTTTAAATGGAACAATAATAACAAGACATTAAAAGTGTTTCAGACCATCTAGATTATCAAAGGGCACCAGCTCTTCACTAGAACTTGTTGACAGAGTCTCTCTCTCTCTCTCTCTCTCTGATAAATAAAGTTGTGAATTGAGTCTCAGAAATTAAAAATCTTGGAAATTCACCAACAAACGCACTTAAATAACATATTGAGCAACTCTTTCCATTTCTTTAATCGGTTTATTTTATTTTGTTTACATACTAGCATTTCAAGATTTCAGTCATTAGGATCTTATTTAGCATTTCAATATTTCACCCAAGTAAATTTTGAACATATCACAAGCCTTAAGTTAAGAAAAGTGTGAATAAAGAGCCTTTCGCAAGCCTTGTTTGCCAACCAAACGGAAATTAAACAGAAATATTGTCGCCAACCAAACGGAAATTAAACAAAACAGAGATCACCCAAAACAGAAATTAAATATTGTCGCAAGCCTTGAAGATTAGGGTTTGTAGCTTTGTTGGTTGATTTTGAACATGGAAGAGATCACCCAAAACTCAGAGAGAGAGAGAGAGAGAGAGAGAGAGAGAACACTGGATGTGTATATATATATAACAACCAAAGGGCATGAAATCTTATATTTTTGGTGTAGATGAACAAAAAACAGGGAGGAAAGGAGTTTGATCGGCTGCGATCTTCCAGATGTGGCGGAGTTCGTCGTCGTCGCAAGAGCGGAAACTAGAAGAGGAGAGGAGAGGGGTGAGGGAGAGAAGTGTGCTAAGGCAACAGAAGAGGGTTCATATAATGGCAATTTCGTAATTTTCCAAGTTTTGAAGGGGCATTTTAGTCATTTCAGCCCCTCCCAACCCAGCTGTGTGTATAAGCTGTTTGAATAAGCATCTCCCGAGTTGCTTCCCCCCAAGCTGAAAATAGATTACAAATAAGCTATAATTTGATCATTTAAGTTACACCAAACACATATTTATAACTTAAATTAAGTTAAAAGCTGAAATAAGCAGCTTATAAGCTGTGCCAAACAGGCACATCGTGAGTTTATGATCAAAGTCAATGGCTAGCTCAAAGTTTAAGAGGCTGTTTAGTAAAATTGAAAGTTTTTAGTAGTGTGAAAATATTGAAATTTTAATTTTAAAACTTTTAAGATAAAAGTTGTCAGAAGAAAATGAAAATAAAACTACCTTCTACTAACTATATTCTACATTCAGTAACAAGTCAAGTCAAACTTAAAATTTAGACTAATTTTCGGGCAATTTTCAAATTTAAGTGGTAGGTACTTATGCATTATCAAAGTCACTTAATGCATTTAGTTTTTTAAGTACTTAATTGCAAGCAGGGCCTGGGCAAAAAGTTTCTCATATCGCAAGAATTCCTATTTTATAATTAAAATATTGGTTCTTTTTTAATGTTTAAGCATTGATGTTGACCCAAGAAGATGTGGTTATGGTTGCAAAATATTGGCTGTGTCCAGTCTTAAGATTTTGGGATTGAGGTGAATATGGCACCTCACCACCCTTCATTCAAATTGATTACTTGAGTCCATGTAACTCAGGTAGGTACTACAAGCCTGATGTGCAAGTTATTTTTCTAACCTTTGCTTGTGCATTTTTAGTATTCAAGGCTGTTATTAATGTGTAGGTCAATCCTAATTGCTTCATATTTATGCCTTTATATGTACTATACATTTACAATGGTGGAACTACTAATAGAATTTGTAAAATGCATAATAGGATGACATTCTAATTTTATGATAATCACTTTGCTAACTCTCTATTTTGTTATGAAGCACGAATACGGATACGGGATACAGATACGATACGATACGATACGGAGACGGCGATACGACAAAATTTGAAAAACTAGGATACGGGTACGGCGGGGATACGTTCGTAAAAAATATTATTTTAACAATTTTTAGTAATGAGTATGCATAAAAATAAAACCTAAAGCAAAAGACAACTTGGGAAAGAGAGAGAGAGAGAGAGAGAGAGAGAACACTGGATGTGTATATATATATAACAACCAAAGGGCATGAAATCTTACATTTTTGGTGTAGATGAACAGAAAACAGGGAGGAAAGGAGTTTGATCGGCTGCGATCTTCCAGATGTGGCGGAGTTCGTCGTCGTCGCAAGAGAGGAAACTAGAAGAGGAGAGGAGAGGGGTGAGGGAGAGAAGTGTGCTAAGGCAACAGAAGAGGGTTTATATAATGGCAATTCCGTAATTTTCCAAGTTTTGAAGGGGCATTTTAGTCATTTCAGCCCCTCCCAACCCAGCTGTGCCTATAAGTTGTTTGAATAAGCATCTCCCGAGTTGCTTCCCCCCAAAGCTGAAAATAGATTACAAATAAGCTATAATTTGATCATTTAAGTTACACCAAACACATATTTATAACTTAAATTAAGTTAAAAGCTAAAATAAGCAGCTTATAAGCTGTGCCAAACAGGCACATTGTGAGTTTATGATCAAAGCCAATGGCTAGTTCAAAGTTTAAGAGGCTGTTTAGTAAAATTGAAAGTTTTTAGTAGTGTGAAAATACTGAAATTTTAATTTTAAAACTTTTAAGATAAAAGTTGTTAGAAGAAAATGAAAATAAAACTACCTTCTGCTAACTATATTCTACATTCAGTAACAAGTCAAGTCAAACTTAAAATTTAGACTAATTTTGAGGCAATTTTCAATTTAAGTGGTAGGTACTTATGCATTATCAAAGTCACTAATGCATTTAGTTTTTTAAGTACTTAATTGCAAGCAGGGCCTAGGCAAAAAGTTTCTCATATAGCAAGAATTCCTATTTTATAATTAAAATATTGGTTCTTTTTTAATGTTCAAGCATTGATGTTGACCCAAGAAGATGTGGTTATGGTTGCAAAATATTGGCTGTGTCCAGTCTTAAGATTTTGGGATTGAGGTGAATATGGCACCTCACCACCCTTCATTCAAATTGATTACTTGAGTCCATGTAACTCAGGTAGGTACTACAAGCCTGATGTGCAAGTTATTTTTCTAACCTTTGTTTGTGCATTTTTAGTATTCAAGGCTGTTATTAATGTGTAGGTCAATCCTAATTGCTTCATATTTATGCGTTTATATGTACTATACATTTACAATGGTGGAACTACTAATGGAATTTGTAGAATGCATAATAGGATGACTCTCTAATTTTATGATAATCACTTTGCTAACTCTCTATTTTGTTAGTCTTTTGCCTTGTATAATGGGATGATCTTTAACCATTTCACATGCTAGTTAATACCATCAATTTCATCAAGCCAATTTTATTTATACAAAAAGTACATCTCATTTCTTTTTCCTTTTTTTTTTTAAAAAAAAAAATCAAAGAGGTAATTTCTGGTTCTACCCATATACATAAATGTGTATATGTGTGTATCTATTATAGATGTATAATATTCAGGTACATTCTCTAGCTTCTGATTGATAATCATATTTCTTTAATAGGAGAAAAGGTGCTTAATCATCAGTCCTATTGTTTTGTTTTCATTCTGGGAACTTCTATAATAAATCAGTGGTTATGCTTCTTTCATAGTTGCCTTGATAAAATTAAGCTTATTTATTGCAGGTACATAGTTCACAGTTTTTCCCGAATGCTGCCACATTGTAAGCTAAGGGAAACAGTTGAATATTGTCGAAGTTTGGATATATTTACATAGGAGAATGGCAGATGGAATATCAAGCTTCTGGTGTCCTGTCACATCCACCACAGAGTGGTGTGAAAAAAATTATGTATACTCTTCCTATATTGCGGAATTCTACAACACCACATCTAATATCCCATGCATTCTTTTGGCACTAATAGGCTTAATAAATGCCTTAAGCCAACCGTTTGAGAAGAGATTTAGTGTTCTTCATATATCAAATATGATACTAGCTATTGGGAGCATGTTATTCCATGCCACGTTGCAACATGTGTAAGTAAAACTATATACTATGTGCATCTTCCCAACGTGTCGTATCTTTCATTTTTAAAAAATTATTATGCTGGCGTATTCATGTTGTGTGTTCCTATCCGTGCTTCTTAGATTGCAATTATGGGAGGGAGACAAAATAACCAAGTGAAATCGGAAACATTTGCTTCTCAAACTTGAGGAACCGGTGTAATTTGTGTTCATAGCTAAAATTGGAAAGCCCAATGGGGAGTGGGTTGGAGAAAGAAAAAGGGGGATGCCTGGTGGGATCTCTACAAGTTCTGGATTCAACCACATTCTATAAGTTCTAGATTCAACCACATTATATTCCTGGTAGTAGTAATAGGACCAAAAAAATAATAATTGAACAAAAGTAGAATAAAGATGGATTTGAACTCTCAAACTACATTGAAATGACACAAATTCAGTTCCATATTCAATAGCTCTGTTGTTCAGTCAACTGAATAAGCTATTCTTTGTAGTGATTACGAAGACTTGATATATGAGAAAGTGGAACTTCACCATGAGAACTACTCCTAAAGACCATGAGATTGTACTTGAAATAATCTCAAACAACTTCAAATTGTCCTGTAAATTAATTACTTTCATGCATGCAATTTTGTTGTTACCCATATCTTCACCCATGCATCCGGGCAATTTCGATCAATTGGTAAAAAGCATAAAAATATAAAAACTAGAGCTTTTGTGACGGTCTTGAACGTCGCAAAAGGTTCACATATCATCGCAAAAGACTTTTTGCGACAGAGTCGTGACGGGAAATGAGGGGTGGCGGAAGGAGGCGTGACAAAAAGTATTTGCGACGGTTACAAACTATCGCTTTCTTGTAGCGACGGCTAATCAATGGTTTTGCGACAGTTTAACCTGACACAAAAGGAAAAAAATTTCACTTTTAGTGACGATGTTGGTTGCCGTCGCCAAAACTTTATTAGCAACAGTATTTGACGTTGCGAAAAATATTATTAGTGACGGTCGAAAACGTTGCAAAAAAAAGTAAATTTAAATTAGTATCGTATTTGTGACAGTTTAAACCGTCGCTAAAGATTTGAACTACGATGTATATGCAGCAGGTTAATCCGTCGCTAATAAAATGTAAGGAAATAATGATTACATTAGCGACGATTTATTATTGTCGCAATAAAATTATTTTCATAAAATCAATATATATTTTATTAATTCATTCCCTGTACAAATTATTAATATTTTCTAAAATAAAATACATCTACATCCATATCCACATCCAAACACATCCACATCTACATTCACATTCACATCCACAAAATCATACGTATATATGTACCTTGTAATAATTGTAAACCAAATATTCTTTACAAAGATATATAAAACATCCTTCAACAATATTAATAATTTTTTATATTCAAGAACTTAAATTTTTGTATCTAAAACAAAACAAAAGTATCAACAATACAAATAAAAAACATATGCATTATAACTTGTTTTAATATCAACAGTAAGCTCTAATATCGATATGCAAAGATATCATCATATACTCAAAAGGGGTTGCATATGCAAAAAGAAACCCAAAAAAAACTCATCATTTACAATATAATTAACTTCATGCTTACAGAAAATGTAAAACATTTGATATTTATTTCAAAAAATAAATAAATAATAAGATTGTAAGCTGCAATATCGATATGCGAAAATATCATCACGTACTCAAAAGGGTTGCATCTGCAAAACAAAACAAAACAAAATAAAACAAAAAAAATTATTTACAATATAATTAATTTCAAGCTTACAGAAAATGTAAAACATTGGATATTTATTTCAATAAATAAATAAATAAGATTGTAAGTTCTAATATCGATATACGAAGATATCATCGCGTACTCAAAACGGTTGCATTGTTTAGGGGAGAAACCAAAAAAAAAAAAATTCCCCCGGGGTTGAATCCATGTGTTCTCTCCCTGCCCCTAGCCAGAACACTACCCAAGTTCCACAATACAAACTTCCCTTTTTGTTTCAGTTCTCAGCATGAGAAACCCAAAGACAAAAATTTCCATGAATCCAAACAATGCTGAAATCCCAGAACCAAAAGGCCTCCAATTCTGTGAGGCAATAATCAAATGAAAACAAATAAACCAACCGATTCACAAACAAGATACAATAATGCCTCAACTCATGAACAAAAACACTCTATTTCTTTATAGCAATAATCAATTGCAAAACCCTCTAATTCTGTCAGGTAATAATGAAGTGAAAACAATCTCCCCCGATTCACAACCAATATACAAATGCCTCAACTCAAGAACCAAAAATTCTACTTCTTTAGAGCAATAATCAGTTGCAAAACCCTTTTGAAATCAAAACCTTAATTTTTCAAGTTTGGAAAAACAATCTGTGTTTATTTCAAATGTGTTGAAGGAATTTCGAGAATAGCTTTGTGGCCGGCACATTTGCTGGCGGTGGCGTGACAGCTTAGTCGCACCCTCTAGAGGATCTGAACGTTTTAAGCGTATTGTCGCTTTGGTCCTACAGTTTTTTAATTTGACCAATTTTAATTTTACACTTTCAACTTATTTCTCATTGTAATATGATCTCTTTGCTATGTGCCGTTCATAATTTAAACAGAAAAAGATCATGCACCAAATTAGAGATGAAAGTAAATTTAAAAATATATAAAGATTATTTGTATAATTTATTTATTACACCGGCAATCTCTATAATTTTTTTTAAAATATATTTTAGTATCATTTGTTTTGCATGTGATTTTTTTCGATTTAAAATTGTAACAAGTAACAAAGGGATCAAATTACAGCAAAACTAAAAGTGTAATATTTAATCAAAGTGAAATTTTGCTCAAACTAAAATGATGAATAATTTACCTTTTCCTAATTTGACGACCCTAAAAACATTATTTTTAATTGAGTTTTTAAATATTATTATCTAGCAACTAATACACATCAGCGGGGATAGCTCAGTTGGGAGAGCGTCAGACTGAAGATCTGAAGGTCGCGTGTTCGATCCACGCTCACCGCATTAATTGAAATGATTTTTGCACTAATTTTATAAATTAAAAAAAAAAAAAAACTAAAGTCAATTTTCAAACCATCTCTAAAGTCACTTCATCAAACTTTTTTACTCTTAAATTACATATATATTAAAATAGCATACACCAATCAAGAATTAAAAGATTTTCATAAAATATTACATAATATTTTTTTTAGAAAAATACATTGGAACTTTAATTATTACTTTAAAATCAGTTTTAATGAGATAATAATAAATTTCACTCAGTATAATGTGATATTTTAGTTTCATTTATTTAGTTTTCTCATTATATTAGTACAATATTAACCCTCTAAAGAACTATTTTGAAAAGATTATTATAATTAATATTTTGTAAAAAAATAAATAAATTATAATCAGAGGAGTGAAGTATAACATACCTCCTCAAAAGGCCTAAATCATTGCTGATTTTTTTTTCAATGATTCATACGAGAGTCACATTTAAATATTTGTCTATCTACTCCCAACTCTCTTTCCCATCCTACTATTCCGTCACCTCCTCACTCCGATATTCCAGAGAACAAGTACTCACTGTCACATACACAGAGAACTATAGTTATACATATA